GCTAAACATCATATGGTAACAGATTCTTAAGGCGGGTAGTTGCTGGAAGAAATGACTTCATGTGTGCTCATGGGCCTGTGCATGCTCATCGGGGTCGTGTGTGCTCATGGGGGTGTGTGCTCATTGGGGTCGTGTGTGCTCATGGGGGTGTGTGCTCATCGGGGTCGTGTGTGCTCATTGGGGTGCATGCTCATCAGGGTCCTGTGTGCTCATGGGGGGGTGTGCTCATTGGGGTGCATGCTCATCAGGGTCGTGTGTGCTCATGGGGGGGTGTGCTCATCGGGGTGCATGCTCATCAGGGTCGTGTGTGCTCATGGAGGGGGGCGTGCTCATCGGGGTCGTGCATGCTCATGGGGGTGCATGCTCATAGGGGTGCATGCTCATCGGGGTCGTGTGTGCTCATCGGGGGTCGTGTGTGCTCATGGGGGTGCATGCTCATCAGGGTCGTGTGTGCTCATGGGGGTGCGTGCTCATGGAGGTCGTGTGTGCTCATGGGGGTGAGTGCTCATCGGGGTCGTGTGTGCTCATGGGGGTCGTGTGTGCTTATGGGGGTCGTGTGTGCTCATGGGGGTGCGTGCTCATGGGGGTCGTGTGTGCTCATGGGGGTGTGTGCTCATCGGGGTCGTGTGTGCTCATCGGGGTGTGTGCTCATCAGGGTTGTGTGTGCTCATCAGGGTTGTGTGTGCTCATGGGGGTGTGTGCTCATCGGGGTTGTGTGTGCTCATGGGGGTGTGTGCTCATCGGGGTTGTGTGTGCTCATCGGGGTTGTGTGTGCTCATGTGGGTGTGTACTCATCGGGGTTGTGTGTGCTCATGGGGGTGCATGCTCATCGGGGCCGTGTGTGCTCATGGGGGTGTGTGCTCATCGGGGGTGTGTGCTCATCGGGGTCTTGCATGGCCATGGGGGTGCAAGCTCATCGGGGTCGTGTGTGCTCATCGGGGTGCATGCTCATCGGGGTCGTGTGTGCTCATGGGGGTGTGTGCTCATGGGGGTGTGTGCTCATAGGGGTCGTGCGTGCTTATGGGGGTGCATGCTCATCGGGGTCGTGTGTGCTCATGGGGGTGTGTGCTCATAGGGGTCGTGTGTGCTCATGGGGGTGCATGCTCATCGGGGTCGTGTGTGCTCATGGGGGTGTGTGCTCATCGGGGCCGTGCATGCTCATCGGGATCAGATTCCCCTATGTAACCCATCATCAGATTATTTATTTGTTGTTGAGAAATGATAGTGTCATGATACTGACAGTGTCAACAGTGATAGCCACTTTCCATATCATATCTAGAGCTGGATTAATAATTCATTTGTGAGTCACTGGGGTGACACCTTGCATTTCAGGCCTTGTTGAGTCATGTAAATGAGTATTCATATTGACAATCTGTATCCAAATAGTAATCATCATAGTGATTATCAGGACAACATATGTACTATTATGAATGTTGAATCATGTGATTCGCTATTCATATTCAGAATATAATAAAACATAACCTGGTATCAGAATAGTAATCAGTTTGTGGAACATCTTGCCTACGTATGAGACTATTATTAATGTGTCATATTAGTAGGTTATGAACAGAGGTGATCATCTTTGTTTTAAATGTTCTCAGCAATGCACTTCTCTATGTCTAAGGACTGTCTCCTTGGTCAAGTGGATAGAGCATCTGCCTCAGCATGCTCAGGATAGCCGAAGGTCTTTGTTTCAATCCCCGGTTGCATCATACCATTTTTAAGACGTTACTTGTTGTTACCCTGCCAGGTTCTCGGCATTAAGGTTATAGAACAAGGGCTGAATCGGATTCCATATTTCATTCAGACAATGTATGATAAAGAAGTAAGGAGGCACATTTCTTGAGTTCACTTTCACATGTTGTCAAACTAGCCAGTACATGAATTAACAATCCCTCACATCCTGTGTGTGTTTCCCTTATTACATAGACCGCCACCGTGGTGTAGTGGGAGAGTGTTCACCCAGGGAACGGAAGGCCTAGGGTTCAATCCCCGGCTGCGTTATACCAAAGGACATTAAAAGATGGTACTTGTTGTTTCCCTGTCTGGCGCTTGGCATTAAGGGGCCTTAAAGGGGCACTGATCTAACGCAATTCCCCGGGACTGGTTGTTGCCTTTGTTATTGTTTTTTCCCAGTGAGTACCCGGATGTATAGCAGAAATCTAGACTAGTTCGCGACCTCTGCTGCGCCATTCCTAAACGCATAAGTCACTTTAATGGTAGTAAAAAGGGCGTACGGTCACACTGATCAACAAAATGAAATACAGTTTTCGAGATAATAAGGAAATGTAGGTATCTTTGTGGGTAGCATCGGTAATGGTGACGAAGTTTTGATAAGTCACTTGCTTGGTAATTTTGCGATTTTCGTTTACACTATTTTGACTTGCTACACAAAGTAAATATTTCACCTGAGCATTGCTTTTTTTATAGTGTGTATATTTTTTATTGTCAAATGTGTAACAAATTTATTAAACGTCTAAATATTCAGTTATTTTACAAAGTGACTGAAAAACATTTCCATCTGTACTATTATGATAACGAATTCCCAAAAATTTGATGTTTAATGTCATCACCAAGAGACTGAAAATGTTACGTTGAAAAGTACATTTCCATGTTGTTTGGCTTCTAATCCTACATAATAATCTGTTGTGATGTTTGTAGGCCCTTTTGATCGTCTTAATCAATCTGGACAGATTTTTTAGTCAAAATGACTGAAATATTTACACATTTTATAAATTGCCTGAGAGAATCACATTTTACAAATTGACGGTAATATATACGCGGTTACAAAGGAATAGACCTGTGAAAACAACATCTATCGCTCATTGAAGAATTTCCCAACCAAGACGTAGAGAAACAAGAACGAATCGGTTCAAATGAAGGAAAACAAAATGCAAATATCATAATTACAACCTACCAAATTTATGTGTAGAAATTTTAGGCAGCTTCCTTGTTCGAGGAATGTATCCGTGAATATCCACACAAAGGAACAATATCCCACTCGTCTGCAGCTGTACAAAAAAAAATATTCGATGTCACGTGTCTCAGTAACAATCAAATATTTTAAAAGATATATATCGTTTCGGGATATTATAACCCGTGTTTGTTTCTCAACTGATCACCTGGATTCTTTCAGGTGTTTCACATAGGTGTCAAGTTTCAATGGTCTGCTGAGAAAGCCCACGTGACAACTATTTTCATAACGTCCACGGTTCCTAAAAAATCCATTGAGTGATGGATAACAATGATCAATCAATCAACGTATTAACAGTTAACCCTTTGAACAAAGTATGTTGTTTTTACATCGGCACTTCACGCCATGATATGAGTGTATTCCCTTTGTTTTAGTAAACCTAGACATGTAAACACTCACTCTTGACATATCCACTGTGCAAGATAACAGTGATTAATCAATCAACGTATTGTCTGTTAATCCTTTTATGACTAGGAACGATCCGTTGATTTACAAAAAAAAGTAAATCAACTGATCATTCATCTCTTGCTGGGCTGCCACGTGCATATTACATAACACACATTTCACCTCACTTCAAACCTGGATTTAGATTGAATAATTACCCCAGACACAATAAATGCCAAATGGGAACCTTTGTCAGGTAATATAAGTGGTGCTACCACTAATTGTACCTGTAATAAATTCATTAACTGAGCATCAAGTGAATGACGACAAATACACAAGTGTAGGGTTATACGAGAAAACGTGGATGACAAGGGAGTAGTAATCGTATTATCGACGCAAGCCGAAATCCGAAAATACTTTCACTGCATGGATACTTTTTTTAGTATTAAACTATAACCATCTGGGGTATTTCCAAATGACGACATCCGATGAGCTCCGCTGTTCTTTTTGTCTGTTTGTTTAGGCTGAAGTAATTAACTAACATGCGCCCTTTGTCGAAATCTTTATAGATCACAGTTAACCAATCAGTGTTTATGCAAAAACGCGTAAAACAAATATTGCCTCCAGCCTCAAAGTTTATTTAGCTGTCCTTGCAGACGGTAGCCCAGTCTCTGGTCACGCTCAGTTGCGTTGCGTATCATCCGGGTACTCACGGGGGAAAAAACAATAACAAAGGCAACAACCAGTCCGGGGAATTGCGTTAGATCAGTGCCCCTTTAAACAAGGACTGGTCAGCTTGGAGTCAGTATACTGTGTCTGAGTAGGGTATTCATGTTAAACTGCGGCAGGGTGTCTCAGTGGGCTAGCACTATAAAATCGGCATCAGTCTGAACTAGTACAAGCAGCTACACACACACACACACACAAACGTGATGTCGCTTTACAAGTGCAATAATCTTGGATGCAACGTTAAACCCCATTTCATCCCTAATTACAAATTGTCACTTTGATTTTCTTCTATCTATCAGCTATATCTCCATCAAGGATCGGTTAAAGGCTTCTGAGCATGTGCATCGATATGACATGGGTAAAATTGCTGGAAATCATGTGACATCCTCCAAATTTTAACTGAGATTATATAGACCCAGGAAAATCCCTGCTTATTAGAACGAACAGAATTTTGCAAGACCCTGGGTTTAGGACTTGGAGTATAATAATAATAATGATAATGATAATAAAAATAGCTCTTAATATCCAACTTTTAGCTGTTCAGTCACACTTATATTTATTTATGCACAGCTTTGATGAACTATTGACACATAGATATATACAGTTATCATGGTTACATATATACAAATATATAATGTATAAAAGTTAAGTGCCCAGTTGTCAGTAGCTCTGGGACTATGTTATAACGATGAGCGATGTTAAATCTACACTTAGTGTCACAGACTGTTGCAGTTGCCTGGCCCAAACTTGATTACACAGCTGGAATATTTCAATATATAAAAAACCGTCCAATAAACAATATCTACATGTGAAATTATGTTAATTAACCCTGAGTAACCATGGCAACCCCAGCCTGTTGCACTGATCCTGCTGTTGAGGTAGATGTCATGATGTCTGAGCTGAGGTTTTGACACAAGTCTACACGATAAGGATTTCATTGATGGCCTAGCTGAGAACCTCTACCATTTACAATGAAAATATCACCTTTGTAGCTGTACAGATGGAGATAAGTGCTATCAGTGTTTCTCGTGATGTAGGTTTCCCTGAGTCATGCCCACTTGCATTGTCCTCTATCGCATGAAATTAAGTATGATGGGACACGCAACACGATCTCTTCTTTGCATTGTGTACCTGTCAGCTGTAAAGTATTAAAGGATTTTCCACTCCTGCGGCATCCATCTCGGGACCGGATCTGTAACAAGGTCTTTCATAAGTCTTAGATAAGGTCTTACATAAGCTATAACAGATATTCGGAATTCACCTACCTTCTTGAGTTTCTGAACGCTGCATTTCGACTTGTTTCACTGGGAAAAGCTGATCTAGACCTAAGTGAAGGACTGTATGTATACTTAACCTCACACTCTACAGACATCAGGACATTGGCTTGCACTTTCTCATTGTTGGTATTTCAGGTTAGTAAATTATGATAAAAATATTCTTTTGAGAAATAACCTTGCTTTATGATGGGCATTGGTGGCCTGATTGATTAAGATTCTGTGACTTGGTGTGCAGAGATGGCTTCTTCAGTTGTACCAAAAATCCAATGATTGTTGGTTCGAATCCAGATTATGTTTCTTGGTTTGTCTGCACCATACCCCTGCTTGTGTGAAGCCCAGGGTATGAAACTCCCAAAAATTTCAGCCAGACCACAGGACTGGCTAGCTGAAATACTTGCCAGCCCTGACCAAAACCTGTCTGCCCACTATAATCATATGTTTCTCAGGATAAGCTAACGGGGTTTCTTTTGGGTTACATTTTATCATTCATCTTTACATGTGAATTAATGCTTATCATCAGGAAATATTTAGAATATTTTCACATATGAAATATAACCCGACCGTCGGGCAGGGGTATTTGAAAATCTGGCAGCCCGAGTTGAAATCAACCTGTCTCAACCTGGTATTTCGAACACTGGATTAGCCAAATGCCTACAACCTGTTCCCTTTGGGATTCTTCCCACATTAACAATGATTAAGCTGACATGTCATAATGTTTCGTGAAAATCTGGGTTAGTAGAATAGGTCTTCAGCAATCCATGCTTGTGGTAAAATGAGATTTAGGCTTGTCGTAAGAGGCGACTGACAGGATTGGGTGGTCAGGCTCGCTGACTTGGTTGATGCGTGTCATCGTATCCCAATTGTATGGATCAATGCTCATGATGTCAGTCACTGGGTTGTCTGGCCCAGACTTGATTATTCACAGACTACTGTCATATAGCTGGAATATGCTGAGTGTGGCTTTAATCAACAAACAATGGGTTGCTTGGTTACCTGAAACAAGTGTTTTCTGTTGTTGGCCTAATTGTTTCTGCCATCTGAACACATGGAACACATGTTATGTTATATCTCTATCACGTGAATGCAACGTACATGATGTAACCACGGTAACATGATTCTTCCTTATGTTTTTTTCCATACTGCAGATGCTGTTGTTTCTGCCTTGAGAATACATTGCTTTGTGTTTATTTTTGCCATGTATTGTAACCGTGGTAACAAGAAGGCACATGGGTAACCAAGCCATCTAAGACACCACAATTTGTGGAATCCCTGATTGACCCTTGTATTGTTTCTAGGTTTGTTAGCACCAGTGTTTGAAAAAATCTTAAAACCTACCAAGACAGTTGGGCAGGTGACCCATAAATGTTGCCTGCCCATCTTCAACGTTACCTGCCTGCATTCAGACATAAATATTGAATACTGCGAAAAATGAGAGACAAATCACGTCTTGATACAGTTGAAATAATGCAAACAGTTACTTGAAAATCTATGAGAAGTTATGCTAAAACTGAATATGTAAGTACAGTAAACTACGGTTATAACGAACTCAAAGGGACTACTATTTTTAGTTCGTTATAACCGTAGTTCGTTATAAGCATATATACAGCATAACTACAGCAAATAGTCGGGACTAAAAAGTGAGTTCGTTATATCCGTCAGTTCGTTATAAGCATGTTCGTTATAACCGTAGTTTACTGTAGTCTTACAATTATCTGCCAGACAGTCGGGCAGGTGGAGGAAAATGTCGGACAGCCCAAACAGAAAAGTTACAGGCACTGGTTAGCACCATACATGTTCTAGACCGCCTCCATGGTCTAGTGGTAGAGCGTCCGCCCGGAGAGCGGAAGGTCCGGGGTTCGATCCCCGGCCGCGTCATACCAAAAGACGTTAAAAGATGGTACTTGTTGTTACCCTGTCTGGCGCTCGGCATTAAGGGGCTAAAACAAGGACTGGTCGGCTCGGAGTCAGTATACTGTGTCTGGGTGGGGTATTCATGTTAAACTGCGGCATGGTGTCTCAGTGAGCTAGCACTATAAATCGGCATCAGTCCGGACTAGTACAAGCAGCCACACAAACACACACACGTACATGCACGTCGCTATATAGGTGCAATAATCTTGGACGCGACGTTAAACCCCCATTTCACCTCACCTCACCCATACATGTTCTGGTGGGTTTCGGCATTTTATTAGTGGTAAATATCTGAGCCCTGCATCACTTCGGGCTTTCCTCCCACATTAAACTGACACGCTGGATATAACCATTATAACTAAATGCTGTTCAAAGGGGCATTAAGCCAGTTCACCAACACATATTGTAACCATGGTAACACGTTTGCTTGTGAAATGAGGACACATTTTACCACCTTTGTTTCTGCACTATGTACAGCTTAGAAATATGGCCAGCGCAGACACAACGTACTATGATAATGAGCAGCTGCCCCGGGCTATCCAAAGGTAGATTGTAGATCTTGTATCCTGTGTATTATTACTATTATAAGCACTGCCATTATCCAAACGCACTGCATGACAGTTGTCATGATGCTTTGAGCCACTAGCATTGAATACTGCATTTAACAAGGTGATCGTAGAGCAAGTGTTGACTTGGGGTGTTACGAAAGTCATAGCACTACGATCATTTGCAGAACTACCCCGGGACTAACATTTTGACTTATCCCTTATAACAGAACACGCTGACTTACATTTTGGCTTTTCACAGAACACATTGACTTACATTTTGGCTTTTCACAGAACACGCTGACTAACATTTTGGCTTTTCACAGAACATGCTGACTTACATTTTGGCTTTTCACAGAACATGCTGACTTACATTTTGGCTTTTCACAGAACATGCTGACTTACATTTTGGCTTTTCACAGAACATGCTGACTTACATTTTGGCTTTTCACAGAACATGCTGACTTACATTTTGGCTTTTCACAGAACATGCTGACTTACATTTTGGCTTTTTACAGAACACGCTGACTAACATTTTGGCTTTTCACAGAACATGCTGACTTACATTTTGGCTTTTCACAGAACATGCTGACTTACATTTTGGCTTTTCACAGAACATGCTGACTTACATTTTGGCTTTTCACAGAACATGCTGACTTACATTTTGGCTTTTCACAGAACATGCTGACTTACATTTTGGCTTTTCACAGAACATGCTGACTTACATTTTGGCTTTTTACAGAACATGCTGACTTACATTTTGGCTTTTCACAGAACATGCTGACTAACATTTTGGCTTTTCACAGAACATGCTGACTTACATTTTGGCTTTTCACAGAACATGCTGACTTACATTTTGGCTTTTCACAGAACATGCTGACTTACATTTTGGCGTGTCCCTTAGAACTGAACATGCTGATTTACATTTTGGCTTGTCCCTTATAACTTAACATGCTGACTTACATTTTGGCTTTTCACAGAACATGCTGACTTACATTTTGGCGTGTCCCTTATAACTGAACACGCTGACTTACATTTTGGCTTGTCCCTTATAACTGAACACGCTGACTTACATTTTGGCTTTTCACAGAACATGCTGACTTACATTTTGTCGTGTCCCTTATAACTGAACACGCTGACTTACATTTTCGCGTGTCCCTTATAACTGAACACGCTGACTTACATTTTGGCTTGTCCCTTATAACTGAACACGCTGACTTACATTTTGGCTTGTCCCTTATAACTGAACACGCTGACTTACATTTTCGCGTGTCCCTTATAACTGAACAAGCTGACTTACATTTTGGCGTGTCCCTTATAACTGAATACGCTGACTTACATTTTGGCTTGTCCCTTATAACTGAACACGCTGACTTACATTTTGGCGTGTCCCTTATAACTGAACACGCTGACTTACATTTTCGCGTGTCCCTTATAACTGAACACGCTGACTTACATTTTGGCTTGTCCCTTATAACTGAACACGCTGACTTACATTTTGGCTTGTCCCTTATAACTGAACACGCTGACTTACATTTTGGCGTGTCCCTTATAACTGAACACGCTGACTTACATTTTGGCTTGTCCCTTATAACTGAACACGCTGACTTACATTTTGGCGTGTCCCTTATAACTGAACACGCTGACTTACATTTTGGCGTGTCCCTTATAACTGAACACGCTGACTTACATTTTGGCGTGTCCCTTATAACTGAACACGCTGACTTACATTTTGGCGTGTCCCTTATAACTGAACACGCTGACTTACATTTTGGCTTGTCCCTTATAACTGAACACGCTGACTTACATTTTGGCTTTTCACAGAACATGCTGTCTTACATTTTGTCGTGTCCCTTATAACTGAACACGCTGACTTACATTTTCGCGTGTCCCTTATAACTGAACACGCTGACTTACATTTTGGCTTGTCCCTTATAACTGAACACGCTGACTTACATTTTGGCTTGTCCCTTATAACTGAACACGCTGACTTACATTTTGGCGTGTCCCTTATAACTGAACACGCTGACTTACATTTTGGCTTGTCCCTTATAACTGAACACGCTGACTTACATTTTGGCTTGTCCCTTATAACTGAACACGCTGACTTACATTTTGGCTTGTCCCTTATAACTGAACACGCTGACTTACATTTTGGCGTGTCCCTTATAACTGAACACGCTGACTTACATTTTGGCTTGTCCCTTATAACTGAACACGCTGACTTACATTTTGGCTTGTCCCTTATAACTGAACACGCTGACTTACATTTTGGCGTGTCCCTTATAACTGAACACGCTGACTTACATTTTGGCTTGTCCCTTATAACTGAACACGCTGACTTACATTTTGGCGTGTCCCTTATAACTGAACATGCTGTGCACAGAGTGTACCAGTTGATGAAATGTGCAGATTTCTTTGAGTCTCCCCTAATCTCCCTATACCTGCTTAACCCTCCCCATACTACGTGTACTAATGGCGTTCTGCATTTTGAGCTCACCTTGACATTGTCAGACCTGTGAAGATGCGGGTTAGAATAGGTCTTCAGCAAACCATGCTTGTCGTAAGAGGCGACTAACGAGATCGGGTGGTCAGGCTCGGTGACTTGGTTGATGTGGGTCATTGTATCCCAATTGCGTGGATCGATGCTCATGATGTCAGTCACTGGGTTGACTGGCTCAGACTTTATTATTCACAGACTGCTGTCATGCAGCTGGAATACTGCTGAGTGTTGCATTAAACAACAAACAAAGAAAACAAAAACAAAATTGGCATTGTCAAAGTGAGCTGATGTTAGGGGTCTTCATCAAAGTGAGCTGATGTTACGGGTCTTCATCAAAGTGAGCTGATGTTGTGGGTCTTCATCAAAGTGAGCTGATGTTGTGAGTCTTCATCAAAGTGAGCTGATGTCGTCGGTCTTCATCAAAGTGAGCTGATGTTGTGGGTCTTCATCAAAGTGAGCTGATGTTGTGTGTCTTCATCAAAAGGAGCTGATGTTATGGGTCTTCATCAAAGTGAGCTGATGTTGTTGGTCTTCATCAAAGTGAGCTGATGTTGTGGGTCTTCATCAAAAGGAGCTGATGTTATGGGTCTTCATCAAAGTGAGCTGATGTTGTGGGTCTTCATCAAAGTGAGCTGATGTTGTGGGTCTTCATCAAAGTGAGCTGATGTTGTGGGTCTTCATCAAAGTGAGCTGATATTGTTGGTCTTCATCAAAGTGAGCTGATGTTGTGGGTCTTTGTCAAAGTGAGCTGATGTTGTGGGTCTTCATCAAAGTGAGCTGATGTTGTGGGTCTTCATCAAAGTGAGCTGATGTTGTGGGTCTTTGTCAAAGTGAGCTGATGTTGTGGGTCTTTGTCAAAGTGAGCTGATGTTGTGGGTCTTCATCAAAGTGAGCTGATGTTGTGGGTCTTCGTCAAAGTGAGCTGATGTTGTGGGTCTTCATCAAAGTGAGCTGATGTTGTGGGTCTTTGTCAAAGTGAGCTGATGTTGTGGGTCTTTGTCAAAGTGAGCTGATGTTGTGGGTCTTTGTCAAAGTGAGCTGATGTTGTGGGTCTTCATCAAAGTGAGCTGATGTTGTGGGTCTTCGTCAAAGTGAGCTGATGTTGTGGCTCTTCGTCAAAGTGAGCTGATGTTATGGGTCTTTGTCAAAGTGAGCTGATGTTATGGGTCTTCGTGAAAGTGAGCTGATGTTATGGGTCTTCATCAAAGTGAGCTGATGTTATGGGTCTTCATCAAAGTGAGCTGATGTTGTGGGTCTTCGTCAAAGTGAGCTGATGTTGTGGGTCTTCATCAAAGTGAGCTGATGTTATGGGTCTTCGTCGAAGTGTGTTGTCCTTCTCTCTGTTTGCTTTGAAACTTTTCCAAATCTACGGAACATGTCAATATCATGTCCTAGCCACAAGGAAGTAAACTCTTCAGTTTGCAGAATGTAAAATGGTTGTCACAACAGCTCATTTCTGTAAAATATCAGCCACTGTACCAATATCATCACCTCAAAAAATATTGGACATATCATTTTCAATTTTTTTATGGATTTTTATGGGATCTTTTTTTACAGTATAGTAATGTTTTAATTTGGAAGTATTCAATAATGTTGTCATGCCATCTGTTTGAAATACAGCTTTTGTTATGATGTTGAATATCAAATATACTACATTATTTACTTGAACTATAGACGTGATGGAGGTATTGTATCTATAAATATTGTGCTGTGCACGCCAGAAACCTGTGATCTTGGGTTTGAATGCCCTCCGATAATGTTTCTAGGTTTGTGAGCACCATACCCATCCTTGTGGTTTTCCCAAACTGGTAAACGTCTGAGACCTGCATCACTTTCGGCTTTTCTCCTACATGAAGCTGGCTCGCTGCGATATTACTGGCATACTGTTCAAAGCGGCGTTATAAACCCCACTCACTCACTAATCCATTGGACATCCCATATACAACATTTTTTACTTGATTTAAAGACATGAATGAGGTTTCTTATAAATGTACTGCCCTTATTGTCATCATTAAAATTTCAAAATTGTTGACATGTAAAAATAACTTTTTGAAAATATAGTGAACCTTTTCATGAATGTTTGTTTAATGAAAAGAGCTTGAATTTAAGTGTCAACCCTGAAAAGCCCTGAAAATAACCAGAATGGCTTGAAAAGCCTTGAATATACACAAAATGACAAACACTTGTCAAAAAACAAATTAAATTTATGACAGACTTAATATATTTTATTCATTGGTTGTGAAAATAAATCTTTTGGACAATTTATGATATTAACTCTATTTTGTAGATCTTACGACTAATATATTATATGCTGGATTTAAAACAATACTGACAGACTGAGGCGATTGAACCCAACCAAAAACCTTGTAAAATGACAGTTGAAAGATTTAAAAAGGCCTTGAAGTTTGGTGTTCCATATCTGTATGAACCATGCTTTAATTACATCAAATGTAAAGTTGTAATTAACATGATTAACATTTAATATACATGCTTATTTATATATCTTGAATATAGGTCATGAAAAACTATGGAGGCATTAATGAACATGATCAATACAATGTTTAAATATAGAGATTATTACCCAAGTGTTTTTCCATGTTGTGAATAGCATATTTGTAAAATGGTATTAGGCAACCCTTTGGCAAGCATAATAGATATTTTTTATTCCTAATATGGAAACACATGAAGGTTATAATATCGTTATCATATAATGTCATCCTTAAAATAATCGATGTTTAAGATGTTATTTCACTCAATGAAGTTTAGAAACTGTGTCTGAATACAATGTTTGACTTAACTGACCAATTTATCATATAAAACCAAATGACATGCAGCTAGTTTTGTCTACAAAAACAACCCTCCAAGTTGCGACTAATTCAGTCGCATATGCGATATTGTAATTATCCGACCTGTATAAACCCATCGATCGCCACCTGGCTCCTGTCAATAAAATGCCTCAGCGTTAAATCTTATTTTCATCATGAGATAGTCCAGAATTACTTGTAGCTTTTCTTGTTTTAAAAAACATGGCGACACATTGGGAACGTTAGTCAATAGTTTTGAGAAAACGGCATTGTATAGAGCTTGAAAGAAGTTCCTACCAGGTGACCTCATTTGCATATTTAAGAGATCTCGATACCGAGTTAATGTTGTTGGTTCATCACATCAATAACACATGCCATATTATTATATATCATGCATATCCAGCATTGGCACACATAAACCACGCTTGGCACATCCTCCCAGCTTATTTCAAACCGTGCTATAAGGCTATTATTACAGTAAATGTCGTGGCACAACTAACATCTGTACATATTGGACTTCAAAAAGTGTAGAAGATGAATATCGCTTTATGCTCATTATTTTTGTTACACTACTCTCAAAACATTAAGGACTATCAGATTCTTTCATATTACTCTAGTTTATTTGTCATGCCATGACAGACATCACAGGCATCATTGTTTCCTTATGTTAAGCAGATGTATAAAACTAGATGAGATTATGTATGCATAAACTTTGCCTGACCTCCCTACGTGTAACACCACTGGTTGTATCGTAATAGTCCACAGCTCTTCTTAGTTTGTTGTTTAACACCGCACTCAGCAATATTCAAGCTATATGACGGCGGTCTGTAAATAATCGAGTCTGGACCAGACAATCCAGTGATTGATATCATGAGCATTGACCCAAGCATTTGGGATACGATGACATGCTTCAACCTAGTCAAGGAGCCTGACCTTTCGATCCCTTTAGTCGCCTCTAGATCTAGTGCCAGGAGTGCAAACGAGTAAAATAACTAGTTTAGGGTAAAAACTTGTCCCCCTATATATTCACTAGTCACAGACTAAATGACCAGTGGTTATGTCTAAGCCTGTAATGTATGTTCTAGAATTGGCACAGTGGACAGACCATCCACTTGTTCTGATAATCAGTCTGGGTTTGATTCCCAGCACAGATACATTGTGTGTAGCCCAGTTCTGGTGACCACCCACCAGGATATCGCTTGAAAATTGCTCAAAGTGTCTTTTAACCCTTCACTTATTCCTTGTAATTGCAGTCAAGACATGGAAGCCTTTGATGGAGGATCGACCAGTGCCACTTCTTTCTCCATGAAGACGTTCACATGGCTCGTGCTCCTCGTCCAGGTGTTCGGACTGGCGGCAGTCGTTATGGTGGCCGTGTGGATGGGGCACTTCCGAGGGGGTTTTGCCTGGCAGAGTAACCCGGGCCTGGAATTCAATTACCATCCTTTGTTCATGATCATTGGCATGGTGTTCCTGTTTGGTGATGGTAAGTACCATCCTTGGCACCCAGGGGTGGAGGGGTCACTGAGTGGTTTAAGCAACTGCCTGTCTGGCAAAGGCCTAAGTTCAGCGGTGCAATGTGGTTAGTATCATCCATGGCACCCAGGGGTGGAGAGGTAGTCGAGAGGTTTTAACAACTGCTGGCCAGGCGAGGCCTAAGTTCAGTGGCACAATATGGTAAGCTCATTTAAGCTGTCTGCAGCTGAGATATAGCTGAAATAATAAAAAGCCAAAAGTAATTATTTATCATGTTTATGGTCACAAAGTCTTAATGGACTTTCCACAACTTTGTTTTGACTTCCATATTTATACGTTATTTGATTTCCACCTAACTATTTTGACTTATCTTGAAAAGCTGTTATAAGACAATAAATCCAACCCTTCCCCTGTTCTCAGCCATCTTGGCCTACCGCGTGTTCCGGAATGACAACAAGCTGATCATCAAGATCGTCCACGCCTGTATGCAGGCTGGAGCCCTCATCTTCGCCGGTGTTGGACTCAAGGCTGTGTTTGACTCCCATAACTTGGCAGCGAACCCCATCCCCAACATGTACTCCCTTCACAGCTGGCTCGGAATGATCACCGTCGTCATGTTCGGGCTCCAGGTGAGTGCCATGCCCACATGGGGCAGACGTGATCCTTAATACCCATGCAAAGGGTGAGGAATTGGTCCCCCATAGCTTGTGTTTGTCATGCACACACAGGGCAGAATAGGTCCCCCATAGCTTGTGCTTGTCATGCACACACAGGGCAGAATAGGTCCCCCATAGCTTGTGCTTGCCATGCCCGGACAGGGCAGGAAAGGTCCCCCATAGCTTGTGCTTGTCATGCCCCGACAGGGCAGAATAGGTCCCCCATAGCTTGTGCTTGTCATGCACACACAGGGCAGAATAGGTCCCCCATAGCTTGTGCTTGACATGCCCGGACAGGGCAGAATAGGTCCCCTATAGCTTGTGTTTGCCATGCCCAGACAGGGCAGAATAGGTCCCCCATAGCTTGTGCTTGTCATGCCCCGACAGGGCAGAATAGGTCCCCCATAGCTTTTGCTTGACATGCCCGGACAGGGCAGAATAGGTCCCCCATAGCTTGTGCTTGTCATGACCGGACAGGGCAGAATAGGTCCCCCATAGCTTGTGCTTGTCACACACACGCAGGGCAGAATAGGTCCCCCCATAGCTTGTGCTTGTCATTCCCGGACAGGGCAGAATAGGTCCCCCATAGCTTGTGCTTGTCATGCCCCGACAGGGCAGAATAGGTCCCCCATAGCTTGTGCTTGTCATGCCCCGACAGGGCAGAATAGGTCCCCCCATGGCTTGTGCTTGTCATGCATGGACAGGGCAGAATAGGTCCCCCATAGCTTGTGCTTGTCATGCCTCGACAGGGCAGAATAGGTCCCCCATAGCTTGTGCTTGTCATGCACACACAGGGCAGAATAGGTCCCCCATAGCTTCTGCTTGTCACCACACTCAGGGCAGAATAGGTCCCCCCATAGCTTCTGCTTGTCATGCACACACAGGGCAGAATAGGTCCCCCATAGCTTTTGCTTGTCATGCCTGGACAGGGCAGAACAGGTCCCCCATAGCAGAATGGGTCCCCTATAGCTTGTGCTTGTCACACACACGCAGGGCAGAATAGGTCCCCCATAGCTTGTGCTTGTCATGCACACACAGGGCAGAATAGGTCCCCCATAGCTTGTGCTTGTCATGCACACACAGGGCAGAATAGGTCCTCCATAGCTTGTGCTTGTCACACACACACAGGATAGAATAGGTCCCCCATGGTTTGTGCTTGTCACACACACACAGGACAGAGTAGGTCCCCCATAACTTGTGCTTGTCATGCCCCGACAGGGCAGAATAGGTCCCCCATAGCTTGTGCTTGTCATGCACACACAGGGCAGAATAGTTCCCCCATGGCTTGTGCTTGTCATGCCCCGACAGGGCAGAATAGGTCCCCCATAGCTTGTGCTTGTCATGCCCGGACAGGGCAGAATAGGTCCCCCATAGCTTTTGCTTGTCATGCCCCGACAGGGCAGAATAGGTCCCCCATAGCTTGTGCTTGTCATGCACACACAGGGCAGAATAGGTCCCCCATAGCTTGTGCTTGTCACACACACACAGGGCAGAATGGGTCCCCCATAGCTTGTGCTTGTCATGCCCCGACAGGGCAGAATAGGTCCCCCATAGCTTGTGCTTGTCACACACACACAGGGCAGAATAGGTCCCCCATAGCTTGTGCTTGTCACACACACGCAGGGCAGAATAGGTCCCCCATAGCTTGTGCTTGTCACACACACGCAGGGCAGAATAGGTCCCCCATAGCTTGTGCTTGTCACACACACGCAGGGCAGAATAGGTCCCCCATAGCTTGTGCTTGTCACACACACACAGGGCAGAATGGGTCCCCCATAGCTTGTGCTTCTCATGCCCCGACAGGGCAGAATAGGTCCCCCATAGCTTGTGCTTGTCATGCACACACAGGGCAGAATAGGTCCCCCATAGCTTGTGCTTGTCATGCACGGACAGGGCAGAATAGGTCCCCCATGGTTTTTGCTTGACATGCACACACAGGGCAGAATAGGTCCCCCATAGCTTGTGCTTGTCATGCCCGGACATATTGCCGCCTTTGCAATAAAACAAATTCATCCAGTCGCTGCCTTGGCAACAGGCGTCTTTGAATTTCAGGGAGCTGCTGAGGAGAAAAGGATAAAATTTCAGTCGATCCTAGTAATGTTCCGATGGTCAGTTATGATCTTGTTCTCCTTTACTGATCAGAGATCAGTTGTGATTGGTTGTGGTTGGTTGTGTTGCAGTGGGTGTTTGGATTTGTGTCCTACCTGTACCCCAAGGCGGGAATGGCCTCTCGTCGGATGTACATGCCGTATCACGTGTTCTGGGGCATCGCCATCCTCTGCTTTGCTGTGGCAACGGCACTCATGGGAATAACGGAGAAAGTCATTTTCTCAAAGTAAGTGAAGTAGTCACATAGGTGGTAACTGGCGTAAATTTGTTAGGAATGTCCTACTAAAAATATGATTTCTGTCCTTATTCATATGAATAATATGCAAATCTATGGAGAGAAAAATACAAGGACTAAATTTTCATAGACACTGGTAAAGAGAGGATTGTTATTTTCTCTTGCACCGTCTGCTACAAACATGAGTGCGTGTGTTTATCGACTGGTAATAAGTCTGTTTATGTTGTTTCAAAATGACCAATCGAGACATTACACTCGTATTATTATGACTATTGGAAGTTGCTCGAGTCAAACTAGAAACTAAGCGATAAAATTATTGGTTTCCGAATCACATTAATGTATTCTACTGTAGACGATTCAATATCATCGGGTTTTGGTGTCCTGACTACGAGATCGTAACAAAATACTAATAGTAATCTGGGAATGTAGACGGCAATGTACGCACACTGAAACAAAAATAATCGGAAACTTCCAAGCATGTCCACAATTCTTTGGCAACATTATTTTGGCTCCTTTATGTGATATATTAATAGATAAAGGAGAAAGGAAAATGGAAAATCTTCAAATATGTTTGTTTCAAATACTAAATCTTTGATTAAATAATAATTACCTTATTATCACAAGTTTTGGCAGAATAGAAAGAATATGCAGGAAGTTTGATTGCAGCCAACTGAAGGACTAGTCCTGGTACCCTGGGGGAGGTTCATGGGGTTGTGGCCTAACAAATAGCTTTCTTGTTTCAGTATAAGTTACAACAAGTTCATACCCGAAGGAGTCCTGCTGAACTGTCTTGGTCTCACCATCGTAGCATTCGCCACCCTTGTCATCTTCCTTCTGACACGCCCCGAGTTTAAACGCCCCCCAGGACCTGAAGAGGAGCACCTCCAGCTATCTGAGTAATGATTGGCTTAAACACTGGCCAATCAGAATTGGGGACATATCTTGAATAGGTTATACTGGAATTAAGATACATATGGCATTATTTGATGTCGTATATTGAAAAAACCTGAAATTTGCATATTATGTCAAGGCAAACTATAACCTGCTGATGAAATATCAGAAAAATGTAAAATGTGTTTATTTCTATTTCAAACTTTTGGTGAGTTAACAGCATATAAAGAGCTATTGCATAAAGTTTTATATTTCAGTTTTAAAAGGAAAACAAGAAAATATCCTTTGTCTTCTTTATCCACCTATTGCTTATAGCATTTATCAATGATATGACTGGGAATGGTCAATTCACATCTAGGTAAGTTCTCGAATATGTTTCTAGAATCATGACCATTTTCTAAAAACAAAGCTAGTCATGGATGAAAAGTTAGTTTATTTTTGAAACATCAGCTCCCTATTGAGACCTTGCTTACAGTTGTGTGTAGGATTTTCTGATGATGTAATGTAAATGGCAAGCTGAGCAAAATGTTATGACACAGGCTACCCATGACTAACCACTGGCAATGGATGAAAGTAGTGTATGCTTGTATCTCGGTCACAAGCCCAACAACACACTGACAGCTTTCATTTAACAGATCTGGCTTTCAAATTTTTTTTAAAAAATGACGAAATTTGTTTTTCCACCTAGTCAAAAATTAATGAAATTTAGAATTGATTGATATGTAAAGGGAAGTAACTCTTGGATGGCTATTCCCAGACTGGTCCCCTGCCTCTGCTTCGACTCAGCCTGCTGGCTGTGCAAGTGTTCATTAGCCAGCATATCCAACAGAGGCAGTTGACCAGTCTAGGTTCTTCCAAACTGCATTTCATGGTTTCAAGTAACCGACCCGAGGCATCAAATTAAACATATGCAATTTGTGTCCTCGTCTTCATCCTGCAAGTATCCCTCTGCAAGTATCCCTGATTCCAGCTGGGTAGTTCAGTGTCATCTAAGGTGATGTATTACAATGATTCTGTCATATGCAGCCGAACCCTTGTCTGGATAACTGGGGCTCTTGCTGTTTATGATTTAATTACATATCCGAAGCCTGAGTCTTGTAAAATTATGTTTCATCTACTGTGCTCAGCTTTTATGGTCTGTATATTAGGCTTAAAAAATAAAAGAATTGGTTCTCAGGCAGTGGCTTTTGAAAATATAGTGCGAGAGGCCAGTGTTTTTTCTTGGTTGTTCAAACTAGTATGTAACCAAAAATAAACAGATGTGTAACCAAATAAACAGTTGTGTACAATCAAAACGGGGAAAGGGCCTCCCTACATAAATGTATTCCTTGATGAGTAAAATACTGGAAAACAGTATTTGACTTCCATTGGACTTGGTATATTTAAGGATTTTTTTGTTTTTATTTTTAAAATAGAAATAAAAATGAAATGTGCGGTGATCTTTATGATGATGTGGGCGGTGCCAGAGAACCAAGACTATTATTTTTTTATCCTTAAAAATGAAAGATGATGATGTCAAATGGTATTTCCAGGCTAGTGGAAGGTTTGGGCACAGACTGCTCGTCATTCATGTCCTGATAAATTGGGATTCCTTTCGTTTTGGAGAAATGTAATCAATGGTGTATTTCATCAGTATAGTCACTTTCATTCACCATTCCACTCATTGTTTTCCTGTAAAACAGTCTCCATTATTTTGTTTTTGTTTGTAACTATGTAATATTTACATTATTAGGAATATTACATTTATTTATTTCAATATTAAAATAAATGAACTGTGAGATTTATCTCTGTTAAAACAGAATTAGTTGTTTGTTTTAAAAAAACTGTCAAGTATTTCATCCCCATTTTACAATGTATCCACTGAGTGATATTTCCTGCGTGATGCCAATATATTACAATAAGAGCTTGTTTTAAAACAAAGCACTTCTCCGAAAAAGGCCAAAAAGATTAGAAATGGTGATTCAAAATATTATGTATTAATGGTTACCATGGTTACTTGATTAATTCTGTATAACTGTAACACTGTTTTTTCAACCCAAAACCCTCACTTTGTGAAGATCTGGGTCAGAATAGGTCTTCAGCAACCCATGCTTGTCTTAAGAGCCGACTGCTTGTCGTAAGAGGCGACTAATTGGATCGAGTGGTCAGGCTTGCTGACTTGGTTGATGCATGTCATCATATCCAAATTGTATAGATCGATGCTCATGATGTCAATCACTGGATTGTCTTGTCCAGACTCGATTATTTACAGACCGCCGTCGTGTAGCTGGTTTTTCCTAAGTGTGGCGTTAAACAACAAGCAAATAATTCTGTGAATGATTGTAGACTTCACTCATTATGGGATCAAATGTTGCTTGGTGTTGAAGCTCTCTTATGTTGTCTGATCAGTAAGTTGACTTGGAAGTATTGTCTATGATATACAGTTTGGTGAAACTGTTGAAAGCTGTGATCTTACTCCATCATTGATGTAACCATTGATGAACTGTATGTCAAGAGAAATACATCCACACCGAACAGGTGGAGAGATTTAATGCTGAACTGATCTGGTTTATTCAAATATTGCAGTATTTGATTTGTTTTGAATATAAAACATCAGAATAATCGGTCCATTAGCTACCAAAACAGATTCCATTGAACATAAAAGGCAAAATAGCAGTGAAAATTATATGAATGGATCACTAAAGTGAGTTAAAATTTAACGCCGCATGGGCATTATTTAAGTCAGTGGTGACACCAGGTGTTCGTGAAAAGGGTAAGCATGTCCTGGCCTACCCAGTCATTTGTGGTGAGTTCAATGCTCAATGTCAAGTACCAAGCATAAACCTGCCCCTAAACATACATGCACGCATGTCACCATGTACACACTTTCATGTTTTTAATTATTGTTAAAAACTCCATATACGTGACTCAGTCCTCCCTACAACTAATCTAGTTGGGTCTTATCAAAGTGTGCCACTCCCACAATTATCTCTCTATTATTTGGTAAAGTCAATCTGGTGCTGAACACATTATTTCTCTTGATGATATTTCAAAGACTATTTTTATGACTAAAACGGGTGCTGCTGATATTGGTTACCATGGTTACAGTGGAAAGATTCTTTTTCAGTTTCAGTACATATTGTACATGTTTCAGTTTATTTGCCGACATTGATGACCAACTATGGTAACAAATGTCTATTGAAAAATCAAATTTCATGTTTTTCTTTTATGGATAATTTTTTGATGCATTGAAATATCCATCATATTGAGATTTCATTACAGTTAATAACTGATTTCTGACGTAGTTTACACTTTCATTCCAAACCTCATTTTACACTTATCTTTCACGATAGACGATCAATGCACTTAATTACGCATCCTATGTGAACTGACATCAGCTCTTGTATTCTGCCGCTGCATTGTGGGCCTTCTTCATGTGATCTGCGTGTTGTCACTGTCATCAACCGTTGTATCGTCGTCCGGAGTATATTCTATCTGAACTATGTAACTGTTTGAAATGTTGTCTTAGAGATTAAGATTGTGTTTGTGTGTTTGTAATATAACTGATTCAAGGACAGAATTTTTCTTGATGTATTGTTCTGAACTGTAAAGAGTTACTTGCAGTCAACACAGTTAGTGCAGAATATTTTAATACAATTATGAATAACAAATATAAGTGGAATATCAATATACAGAGTTCATAGTTCATTATTTTATTCAAATCTCTGTCTGTCATTATTCTTTGCACACCTCTTCCCCGCTCAGCTTCCCCCCCCCCCCCCCCCCCCCCCCCCCTATCCCTCTTCCTCACTGTCCCTGTGCCTCTGGGCAAGGTGTTGTGAACAAATAGAGCTTGAAGTCCTCGTTAAACTGACCTAACAATAACAAAATCTTCAGTGTACTCTAATAAGGAGAAATGATTGTTCAGGCTACATGAAAGGTTCTTGATACTGTGTGTGCATTACAGGGTAGACCGGACAGCATAGCAATATCATCCAATCACATTGCATGATTTACTTTACCTCGCAACACAAACTATCATAGGTTAGAAGTGAAGAGAACATATGTGAGCTGTCTCCTGGAATGTATACACTGATATGTGGAGAATGTGCAATACGTGTTGTGTATACTGTAACCATAGTGACCATCCGGTAGCCATGGATGTATACTTGTCACTTTGTGTCAGAAGTCAAGTTCTGTAAGTGTTAACGTTGTGAAAACAAAGTATCTTCAAATCGGAAGATTATTTCGTGATCCATCCTCGATTACCCAATGAATTATTTTTCCATTCTTTTTTAATAAAAACTCTGGATCCCATTCTCCACCACAGCTTTGTTATTAATGACATGACGGTCAAATTACTCGGTTCTTTGGTCAACTTTGCCGGCAAGCTCAAATACTCCAGAACACCTTGTGGAATAAGAGCTTCCCTCTGTCATGTGCAAATAGTCAGGGAAACATGTTTTCTTGCCAAGAGTTTTTTAATTTTTTTATTTTGATTTGTTTATACATATCAAGGGCTCGCTTAACATGCTTACATGAGACTAAACTTTTAATGTAGATCTATGCCGAACTTGCGTTATTAGAAATATTTTTATTGGTTGTTGATTTGAAACTCTTCATCAAGAGAAATGGAACTGGTGACGTAACTTCCAAAATGAGGCTGTGGTTGAGAATAGGTCCAGAGTATATAACATGATATATTTTTTTCCCTCTCTTCTTTATTTATCATCATATACTGGCGATATGATACACTGGATAATTGAGGTGATTTGGACCAATCGGTCATATGTGATTTGTGAGTTTCATTGAAGTCAATGCAGGTGTAGGTAGTACCGTACAGTGTAGCTACGTAATGGCTGTTCTTCATGCTTTGCCTTCGTGCAGTCAGTATGTCCCCTGACAAATCGTGTCTCCTCCCAACATCAGAGGCATGTCATATATGGAAGCCTCTGCCTAAATTCTCCGACAAAACTTGAGTTACTGTATGGTATGTTTAAGTACGAGAGACACATCGGTAACTAAGAGGTAGACTAGTTTTAATATCTTCTCAAACTATCTAAATCATGCCATTATTAATTGATTTGTTTTTGTCCTTCTATTACCATGATTACAGTGAAATACTTCAATGAATTTTCAAATTGAGCTGGGGGCGGTCGGGTAGCCTAGTGGTTAAAGCGTTCACGCGCCACGCCGAAGACCCGGGTTCGATTCCCAACATGGGTACAATGTGTGAAGCCCATTTCTGGTGTCCCCCGCCGTGATATTGCTGGAATATTGCTAAAAGCAGCATAAAACCAAACTCACTCACTCAAATTGAGCTGTAGTATAACTGGAATCAGCAAGTCACTATCTTGTCATTCATGTGCATACTAGGCGACTATGCTTGTCGTAAGAGGCAACTAACGGGATCAGGTGGTGATGCATGTCATATTCAAATTGTATAGATCTATGCTCATGATATCGATCACTGGATTGGCTGGTCCAGACTCGATTATTTACAGACCGCCGTCATGTAGCTGGAATTTGCTAGGTGGCCAGGTCTTCGGTGTGACGAGCGAACCGTTTAACCACTAGGCTACCCGACCGCCCCTAATACTGTAACAAGTTATGTATTGATGATGGAGAGTGCATGAGTAACATTTGTTTCTTCTTTTTTTAAAAATAACA